TTAAACGACAATTATGGAACTTGGCAAATGTATTAAAAAAACTCGTATTGAAAACGCTTGCGGCATTACCGGGATTATAAAAGGTAGTATCTTAGGATGGATATTCTACGTGGCGTGGTTGTTTTGATTTTGACGTACGTGAAGAGGGTGAAGTAGTTGGTTTAGGGTAGAGTAGGTAAAGTAGGTAAAGTTAGGCCAAAAAAAAATTAAACCCCTTCTCAAATCTGGGATGGAGATTTTTTACGCCTTTTATTTTTCTAAGATTGTAAGTTAATACTTTATACAACATGAAACCTATTACACCTACGGCAATAGCTCCTACGGTTAAAGACAGTTCTTTGTCTTTTTGATGTCTAATGGCTTCTTTTCTGGTAAGATAGTCGGCTTTGGAGTTGACTTTACAGGTAAAGGTTCTTCTACGGCTAGCGCGTCACCCGCAAAATTGTATTCGATCTCAGGCTCCAAATTTAAGCTCTGCACATAACCAGTCTGCTTGTCTTTGGTCGCAATTTGTAAATTGTTGTTGTAACCTTCAAACGTACCGATGCGTAAGTCCATGTCCAAGGGCACCAAGTACAACCCTGAGGCGACTTACGAAGTTTAAAGGTGTTTTTGCGTACTGCAACGAATCTTGAAATTGGTTTTTCGATTGTTCGAGATCGGGCTCTGAATTGATTAAGGAGTCCACGACCATAACAAATTGCCGTTGCAACCCAAGCCCATGAAGGTAGACTCCGCGTATTTGCCATTGTCACGTGTAAGTCGTGCGCGTCGTAATTTTACCAGGGACAGGTACGTAACTGTTGTCGTAATAATAAGCAGTTCCTAATCCCAATAATTAAACAGCGCTGACACATACGGATTGGGATCGGTCAGTAGATCAAAACCTACCCCGCAGGCAGTCGTCGCGCGATAAACCGCGAAATTAAATTGATTTTGATAAAATGATATTGGATCAGTTGTCCTACGATTTACTGCTTCATTCGTCGTTACTTTCGGTAATCTATACGCGTGCGTTAAATTGGGAAACTCGGCCGAAAACGAGTTGTCCTTATCGACTACGATCGATAAATGAGTAAAATTAGCTCCCATTTATTTTATACGTCTTTAAAAGGAGGTGCCGTTGGTTCGCTCGTTTGATACGACTGTGGTTGATCTTCGTACCTAACCGACTTTGTAAAACTTACTCCCCAAGTTTTTTAAAAGATCTTTTTTTAAAACGGCCTCTCGTTCGTTGGCGAGGGCTTCAACTCTTTCATTGACTTTTCGTAAAATTCCACTTTACTCGTCGATTTTGTTTCTTGCAGTTTGGTGCTCGTACTTAACCTGATCTTTTCTTTCCTTTCATTAATTTTTTTCAGCTCGGATAAAATCAGTACAAATTCTTCCTGTGATATGTCACCGTCTTCAATCGCGTGTGAGACGTATTTGTCGATCGTGTTTAGTTTAGCGTCTGCGAGTACGCGAGTTCGATCGTGTTTTTTGGTTTTATGGTTTAGTCTATGCGTGGCATATTTTAACATCGCGTAAGTGCCAAACGCGGCGATCACGATGCCCTAATGACTCCAAAAATAGCGGGAATCCGATGGCTGCCGAAGTAGCGCCTGATGCTTCTACTCCGTACTCTACGTAGCCGATGCCTTTAAAATCCGTTTAATCTTTTTGTAGCTAGTCTCGCGCGCGTCACGTTCTCTTTGAGCCTTCGATTTTTTGAAGGCGGTAAATTTTTGTCACGTTTGATTCTGTTAAATCCAGATAAATATAAGTCGTCATCTTTTTAAATTATACACTTTATATTATTTTCAGCTCAATAAATTATCAGTCCCCCATTTTCTGATCTGAGGTGAAAAGTTAACTCGCCTATATTTTTAGGTTGCAATTTTCTGGGCGTTTCAAAATCGCTACGAAAATATCGATTTGTTGAATCACTTGTAACAGGTCAAACAATTGCCCGTTGTAAAAAAGTTTTTGTCTAATTGGGGGCAATAGATAGACGCGAGTTTAACCGATTCCAATGTATCGCCTCTTTCAAATAATATGTTTTCAACTATGATTACCTTATCACCCTTTGAATTATCGATGACATTTTTCAATTTAAACGTTTGAGGATTTTGACATAAGTAAAAAGTGTGAGCCTCCATTTTTAAATTATACGTTTTAAAAATAGATTTTTTAAAAACTTGCAACGGCGTTTTCCCAGTGCTTATCCAAGACTTGAAATAAGTCTTTTACGTTAGATTCGTCTTCCCCGGTTACGTCTTGATAAAATACCGCGATTAAAGCCTTCAACGGTTTACCTCTAGAGATTTTGCAATCTAAAACTCGTTTTATTTCATATTTTATCTCACTCGATTGTTCGCGCGACAATTGAACCTTATACTCTATTAAAGTTTGTCTCAATTTTGGTGGCGGTGTGTTTTTTCCAAATGTAACGCTGGTAATATTTACCGCCCACGTTTTCTGGTGCGCATGAACAAACAAATCCCAACACTAGTCCAAAACGTCGGGATATGTATCTATCATCTCTTTCCATTATGTCGTGCTGCATGTATTTTCTAGTCGTGGTGGTCTTGGTTCAGGCGTCGATCATTAGTCCTAATTTTACCAACCTCTTGTCTAAATCTGTTTCTGGTTCAAAGTTTTTGTCTGTAATAAGTTTTAATCTTCTATAATGGCCACTATATTTGTCGTCAATAAATATTAAAAATTGTTTGTCAAACAGACCTATACAATATACACAACAACTGCAATCATAGCAATTAAAGCACCGAACACATTTTTTACAGTCGTAACAATCATTACAGCTTTCGCAAGATTAACAACATGCAAAGTCATAACAATCTTCACAGTCATAGCAATACAAACAGTAATGGCAATATTTGCATTTTAAACTTTTTTTACATGAAAGCAATCTAAACAAAAACCACTATGAATGAATCGTGGTAGATTTACAATTTTTACAGTCAATTAAGTTACGGCACGCTTTCACGTCTGAGCAAAATTGACCATTAATGTTTTGGCCAGTTTTATGTTTATATTTTTAAAAAGTTTTACTAAGATCAAATGGTTGAATTTGTTCTCTCAAATCTTCAGTGTTTTCCATGTCTGTTTTTATATAAGGTTCTAAAATATTTTTTTCATTTTTTCTCGAATCTTCAGTGTTTTCCATCTCTCATTTTTACAGATCTTCAAAATAAATCTCATTTTTTCTCAATCTTCAAACTCATCTTCAGGCCCTGATCTACTAACCGCTTGTAGTACAGATTTATTTGAAATAAGAACGTCTTTTCTAATTTTCAACATACCCGCTGATACTTTATACCTGACACTGGCTCCACATGACAGTGAACCGTGAGTACCGCAGTATACGTCTTAAATTTTGGGCAAATAAAGATTGCGCGTCACATCTCTTATCGGTAATTTTCTCGATATTTGACGAGTCAATGGGTCTTTTGCGGTGATCAAATAGGGAAGCATAGGGATCTATTTTAACGTACATTCGGTGCTTGGTCGTGTAAGGTGGTTTAACTACGTACTCTATTTTATTATGGCCATCAATTTTGCGACTGGCTTTGTAGGCGTTTATGATATTAGACGGAATGTTAGATTTGATACCAACTTGAGATTCGATGAATCTGTAAACGGCTAAATTTATGTGATCGAGTATGTTCTCAGTGTCTTGATCAATTTGGTAGCAGATTTGACAGCCTGTGATATTTTCTGGAATTTTGTCCCTAGTACCGTATTATAATGTGAGTTTATACCATAACAGGGTTCAGTCGTCATAATGAACAGGCTTTTTTCTCGTCCGTTGTGGTGATAAAAAGATAGGCGAGTTGCATACCGTTGCATGTTTACCGTTTTTAATCACGGGTTTTGAAATGATTAAATTCCTCGGGTCAAAAGGACCAAAGGTAACGTTGGGATCGCATTTGTTGGCATTGAGTCGTTTGTAGTCGTCGGTAACGATGTAGGTTTGGTTAGACATTGTTTTTATATATAGTCCGTTTATTTAAGACAGTTGTAAACTGGATGGTTCAAGTAGGAGTCGGGAATTCCCCCCCCCCTTTTTTTTGATGGTCAAAGTGTTTGTGCAGTAGACGCGCCGGGGTTGTTTGTGCAGATGTAAGGTCAAAGGTCAGGGTGAGTGAATTGGGAAACCCGGCGCGGGTGAGTGAGGGTGGTGGGAGGAAGAGGGTGGAAAAGGGGGCCACGCTTGAACTGTCTAATCCCTTACTACTACAGTGCACTCATCGCACGCCTGCATCTAGTCATATTCGCACAGACTTAAGACGTAATGCGCTAGAAAATATAGTGCAAAAGTGAAGAAAGACATAGGCTTCCGCGGACGGTTGCACCAAGGCGTTCGTCCTGGTTCAGCTGATTTGCATATTTCGTAGACCGCGTAAGGTCGCTCTTCACCTTGATTTCGAGCCACAGGTGCGCGTTGCCGTGCGCCTCGACGAATGCCGAACGCCTTGACCAAGGCTATGTTCAAGGTCGCAAAATGCATGTCTCTCCTAAGGTTAAACAACTGTTCCTTGACTCACTTCCATTTATTTTGTATGACCATGTGCTGCATGCATACTTTGTACGTTTTAATTAGCCGTCACGAAATAGCTATTCACAAAGCTTGATCCCAGCGCACCCTAACGGAATGCGATTGTGGGTGCTTTAAACCAAGGCCTCTCTTTTCTACAATTTGATACAGGTTCAAATTTCATGCGCAGCCGTTGTTGGGCAGGCACTGTTGGTCTTGAGCTGCAGCCAAGTCACACAGACACACAGTCTCAATCGTCATGCAAACACTAATGACTCTAACCCACGAATTACATTTCAATCGATTTCTCCTCCCCCAATTTCATCCGAGCCCACACATGTTCGAGTAGGCCTAGTACAGCTTATCTTCCATAAGTCTGTCTTAAACCACTGTATCTTTGTGTATGATTAGGTTAACAAAAACACAATGTATTTGAAGGTTTATTCATACATGTACTTACATCGACATAGCTGGCGTTAATGTAATCCGAATGAGGATCGCTTTCCAATGGTTCCAACACAACACGAGAATGGTCATCTAACAACATCGACAAAAAGGAATTAATTTCTTTCCAGAGTCTGTTCAATTTGGAATCCCATATAATTGTAGTTCAACTTGTATTGTTTTGTTTACAGCATGACAAAGATTTTGGGGAAAATGGCAATTACAAGATTTTACAAAGATATTGATTTTTCAATAACCGATTTTTATGGGACAATTGGTGGATTCTGACATATTCTTATAATAGACTGAGCTAAGAAAATTTTATTCTCACAGAAGTTGTTAGTTTACCGTTCGTATTACCCATGATACTGCAATACACGGCAGTGTGTGCCAATTAACAATACTTATTGGGCAGGTAAACCTTAAAAGGATTTTTTAAGCATTTTATAAGCAATTAAAATGCTAAGTACGCTTCATTACTCTTATGACATATTCATTATGTGGCACCAAACAGCCATTTCCATGTTAACCAATACTTACAGGCAAAGAGGCCTACACTGAAGTTCTTAGCTTTGTTATGCGGTTTCATTGCAGCAGTCGCAGGATGTAACTGACCATCTGGAAGAGTCTGGCGGTAAAAATATCAGAATCATCCTAATAGACTTAAAATTCAGCACTTTTGAATCTTTGATTCCTACTTAGCTGTTTTTTCAATCAAACTCATATATTGCTTTAAGCACTCAGCTGTTCGACTGTTGTTTACGGCTCTAGATTAACTTGGGCAAAATGTGGTCTTTTTTACAAGTTTAAGAAATCTTACAATCGTGTTTTTCTAGAGGGATAAAGGGATATAGACTTCATGCATCATTTGTTCGTGTAATATTGAGACATGTCTATCACTTCGCTCGTGCCCCCTTCATGTCGGGGTAGTCTTTCCCTGTGATAGTATTTCTAAACAAAGCAGCACTTATGAGTACATTTGTACCTACTTTGAAGTCAGCAGGGAAACCATTTTGACCGGCCCGCTCCTTCCTGTGGATGTATTCTGCGAGCTTGTCAATATCTACTGCTGAAATCTGACTGTCCGACTGTTGCTTCCACTGTTCACGTGAATCACCTTCCCTTGCTGGTTGGGAGGTAGAGGGTACCAGATAAGGCTCGTCGGAAGGTGCAGAAGGCATTTCAAATTCACCTGCCACTATACAAGAGCATGCCCCAGACTCTGGAACCTCATACGTATCGTCCTCTGCAGCTGGTTGGGGTAATGCAGCTGGTTTCTGATGATGTTTGGGCTTCAGACTTAGTGCAGCCACTCCTGAGGTGGACTTCTCAGCTAAAGTATCGTTGATAATTGCGTATGCAGAAGGATCCGATTCTGATGTCTGCGAGGTATCAGGTCTGGCTCCATTCACCTTTATTTGGGTCTGTATGCTAATTACACCATCGCCTAGACAAGCGTAGGGTGCGGGTTGTTGGGTGGGCTTTGGAACCTGGTAGGACACGTCTGGACATAAAATGACGTTCGAAAAGAATCTTGACTTCCGGGGCATAAGTATCTAAAATAACTTCATTTGAATTCATTTCCATGCTACACATAAAGTACAGCTGGTGTGAGAAGATTTGCATATAACAGTTTACGTAACACATTCTCTCGTAATATGACAGAATAAAAGCTGCAGAGCATCTTGCTATCTAATGCCTTGCTGTGAGAACAAGACAAAAAGCTTGCTGTACATTTAGATAACAAGTTGATTTTAAACCGTGAAGTGAATTTGGAAATAACTTTAAAACCTACCAAGTTCCAATGTTCTTTTTGTCTTCTGCGAAGGCGTATCACCACGAACGTTAGAATGTCCCCTCTGTGCGTGGCTTCTTCTATAATAAGAATTTTAAAAGTTATCAGTTCAATTTTGAATTTCCCAATCTGTCATTTTATGGATACTCACAACATGAAATATTGAACGAAGTACTTGAGAACTATTCTTTCCAGTGCGTTATATTCGCTCGAAGCCCAGCGCTAGAGCAGGGCACTGGAAATGGCTGATGGCTTTGCACTGTGATTGGCTACATTGTGCACGACCTGTGACCGCGAGGTTATCACTTCCTGTTAGCCGAGCGTTATTTAAAGTTTGACTTCGTCCATGACAGTGCTTTGGCACGGGCAAAGTGTTGCTTATATGATAAAAACATGGCCTTGGTATAATCACAGAGTGGTAATTTATCTTTTCAATAAGTATCACTGATCACGGTATAATTTACATAATTGTTTATCTTGATCAATTTTGAATAAAGTGTAGTGAGAATGTTTTCAGCAATGACGAAGGAAATGAAAAAAAAAATATCGAATTGACAACCGCCGCTTTTGTAACGCATTGAGCGAGCACGCACGCCCGGCAGAAATTTCCACAATGCTCTGCAAGTCGTTTGCTGTGACCCCGTGTGACGTACTCGCTTCACTAAAATTTGTGTAAGGCCATGAGTCCTTCCCAGCGCCCCAGTTCAGGCGTTATATCGGTCCGCTTGTCTTTGGGAGCCCCGAGCTGGATCAATAGAGGACGCAAGTTTCTAAACAACGGAGGCTCCTTTGGTAGGAACTGAACAAAATAAACTTTCCCGACCAACATAGCTCTTCGACCGACGAGGAGGTGCTTCTGCTCTGTCTGGATAAGCAAACAAGCTACAATTTACAAGGCTTGACTATGAGAATCCCTTTCCATAGCTGATTCGTAAATCGTGGCTGCCTAGACAGATGTATAGATTTTACCTTTTATAGACCACTATAACTACTATTACTGCCAACAGAATCAGGATCACAACAGCAACTGCCGCTCCCCAAGCAAGTGATGACGAGGCAGGAACTGCAAAGTACAAAAAGATGTTGTTCCACCTTTACATATATAACCTTGATTTTAATATGTTGCAAAGGGTCTTAATGTTGATTGAGTACGGCATCAAAACATTGGAAAGAGAAAGTGAACTTCACTACCTTACCATCGTATTAATGAAAAACTATTGTTGCAGGAGGAGAATGGGAACAATGCAGTACGGAGAAAAATACTATGCGGACAAATCCTGTGAGTTTACTTACAGGCAACATACCAGCATGCATTCAGATAGAAAGGAGGATCATAACAGAAGGAAAATGACGGCACTCTGACGCCAAATAGTATTAATGATAGTCTAAGGTTTGATATTGATAATGGTGCAGATGAAACACTGTTTCTCTGGAGTCTCTTTGTATGAAGAAAAGAGTTTCATTCCCTTCAAAACCATTGCCATTTTCTATACACTTAACTAAGGGGTTGAACAGACACAAAATTTGCCAGTACTTCTCAGGAAGGGATAATGTACACGTGAGCGTGAATGTTAAATGACAAAATATACTAAAATGTTCAATTTTTCACACTTCAAATTGAAATGATTTCAAAATATCAAATAGACAAGAGATTTGATCAAAAGAACGAATTTGAAAGGAAACGAAAACAGATTACACAAGTTATTTGGCAATCTTTGTGATGCTGTTTACAAAGTAGACTTATACTGGAAATTAACTGACATCTTAAAGTTGTCTCCACTTCAGCCTGACTACGCGGTCCAGCTCCCGCAATGGTATTGGCAGCCACCTGAAAACTGTACTCAGTCAGCGGCGTTAAATCTTCGAAGGTCACCGATTCCTCTGATGTCACTGACTGAATGACTGCTTGGGATTCCGGGCTTACTTCAGTCAGTTTGTACGTGTAGCCTATGATGATGCCACCTCGGCTTCCACAAGGTGGCTTACTCCAGGAGAAACTCAGACTGTATGGTGTTGCTGAGTTGAGATTCACGTCAACTGGGGCCAGAGTTGGCTCTGAAATTTACACAAATCATTGAAAGTATTCTGAACGTATCACCAAAACTATGCACAGCTATTCGTCAAAAGATAAACATTCAACCGTTGGAGCTCAGCACACATGCATTTAGTGATCGTTTTAAATAAAGGATCAATAAGTAGCGTAAGACGTTAATCTACCGTCATGAAACTGGGGGCTCACTTGTTATTCGTGGAAATGTAACCTCGGGTCCTCGTTCATCATCTGAGTACATTGGTCTTATGTAAACTCTGTGGCTCAATGGGGACGCTAGACCACTAACGAAATGGTAACCGTTTTCCGATATCAATTCTTGGGATATAATGTCTTCACACTCGTCCCTGGTTGTGAATTCGTAGCCAAAAGCACACGGATCTGGTTGCCACGTAACGAACAGTTGATGAGGGTCGCCCGACGTCACTTCAAGACCGATTACGCCATTCTGAGCTAAGGACCAATTTAAGCAACTCTGTTATTATGCAATCAAAACAGAAAATACATTACCCAAAACAATACCTTGGCACTATAATATCCCTGAATGCCATACCTCTGACTGTATCTGATTCCAAACATTTGGAACGGCCTTTTAGAGAAAATTAAATAAACTCCATCCTTCACAAAAACCTGGAATATGTTTCTAATGAAATACTGCGTCCGCTTGGTTTGAAATATCACCATTTCATGGGCTTTTTGGAACAACTTCTTTTGACTCTTTTAGCTTTACTTATGTAATAGTTGACTGATTATTGTCAATTTAACTTACTTGAGCACTGACAGTTGCTTCCCAAATATGATGCCATACAACCTGACAAGAGATAGACGAACGTAAAGTTTAATTTTTAAAAGGATTATTGTATATAATATATTCAATTTAATCACAGTGCCTATTATAAGACTAATTGTTACAGCAAAATATTAATTATTAATTCATTACTATGAATGTCGAACAACTATGAACTCACCCATGCTGCATTCTCCTGTATCTTTACTGCACGTTCCTCCCGCTGCACAGTGACAAGTCTGTTTGCAATCCGCACCAAACGTCCCATCATTACAATCTTACATTTGATATTGACAACAGAAACAACAAAACGTAACAAGCAGTTTATCGTTGTACAGTATATGAGACAGAGCACAACAAAATCTAAATATTAATTGACATGTAAGCAAACGTTTAATGTTTGGAAAGTTAAAACCTTTCTATTAGCTTCAAGAAACGGGGACTTGTGAACGTAGACTAATAGCAGGGTCGACTCTTTTATCTACCAAATTGACGTTCCTCTGACAGATTAGATCACCTTGTTTCGGGAGACAATATGATTTCATGTGTTAACATGATACCTTGCATACAGTCTAATCCTTTGTAACCTGCAGCACAGGAGCATCCATAAGGGTCTGGTAGACAGAACAAACGCCCCCGGCAAGCGTCGTGATGTGCATCAGTGCTTGGGGAACATCGCTGATCAGCCATTTTGCCAAACACATGACGACCGTGTGCTGCAGTATTCAAAGAAACACAAGTCAAGATAAAAAGTTACAATAAATGTAAGTAATCATTTTCGAAATTAGGTCTTCCCAATCCTGGTTTACAAAATTTTCCTTCTTTCTTCTAAGGGATCAACACATAAAAAAATGCAATTAAAATTAAGAAGAGGCTAAATAAAGGTATTTCAAGCCGTGTACAAATCTGTTATAATGATTATATACTACAATAAACACTATATTTAAGGCATCGTCGAGATTAATATAATACAAAACAAATGATCGATCCTTGATGGTATATCTGTTTGCTGCCACCAAGCGTCTGGAAAGCATTCATTTTATTTACCTTGCTCGCAACTGTTTCCACTGAATCCCGGGGGACAAACACAGGTACCTGATTTATCGTTACATACGCCACCATTGTAGCATCGAGGGCAGGTTCTCAGACACGAAGGTGGGTCCCACAATCCAGAGGGACAACCTGATATGTCGACAACCATTTTAACAGTAATTATAAAACTTTATCGTTAAAGGGAGTATCTGAAGGGAAAAATAGTTTGCAATTTCAAGCACTCTGCAGAAAAACAAGACATCATGTTTTTGATACTTTAAGCTTACATATCTCCACAATTCACCTCACTTAGGGAACTACATCAATGTCAGTATAAATAAATATGTAACCCATTATCAGGTACGTTTCGTTAATTTATCTGACGATGTGTCACACATCTTTCCAATGTTAATGACAACAAAGAAATGAAATTAGTATTCGTGTACATGTAATGACATACTTATAAACGATTTTACCGTTGAAAACACACCTCTAACTATGAGTCTCATGACGCCATGCAGTTGTTTATGTTCTTGACCTAACGCAAAGCAGGCGTATATTCCCTCACTCTCCACAGCTACATTTGGAATTGACACGTTTAGAAGGTTGTTCCAAGGTTCAATGATGTCGCCTCCGTTATGCCTCCACCTGTAGTCGGTGCTTGGCGAGTTAACATCGTGCATTTGTAGCATTACGGATTCTCCGATATTTGCCGTCTGTGTTCGTTGAACAGGACGCACATGAATGTTATTTCCTGACATTTGGGAAACAGATAAGTTGTGGTAATGTATAAGCTGGTAAAAGTACATGCATTAAGAAATGATAGAAAACTCAGTGTGAACTAGAAATTACTCGTATAAGTCTTCAGTACCAAAAGACGAAACGAGGATATTACTTCTCATAACTACAACAAGAGCTTCTTTAACACAAATGTTTTGAAATAATTTCCACCTTTGTTTAAGATGACAACCTGTACCCTGGTAGTGATGTCATCACTGATCATCTCAGAGAAGAAGACACCTGTTCTATTCAATCCATCTTCCCCTGGTAATCGTAAAACCAATTTGTCTGCACATCCCGTTGACGGATCAGCCAGTACCACTGATCCAGAAGGGGGGTCATTGCTGGTCCCTCCCGTTGGTAGCTGGCGGCCAAACAACACACCAGATGTGGTATCTCCCGCACCCTTGTAGGCAGTGATGGATGAATCGTTGTGTCCAATGTCACCAAGGACAGCAGGATTTGCGACCACAGTAAACTCCACAGCATTTGCTGTAATAAAGAATAAGGACCAATCGTATATATAACGGTTTTGCCCTTACCCAACGCATATAATAATAACCGTTATATATATAATTAACATCTCCCCAACGCAAAAAAAAAAATACATTTTGAAAAGGACCAATCGCTTTCTAAACCAAGGGTCAACTCATAATTCAACTAATTAGAAAGCAAAAAGAATTCGGAGTCACAAGAAATTGGCTGGGGAAAGTTCACTGGCGAAGACATATTTCAGCTTTTGCGAATTTACAGCAAATATTTAATAGTATGTAACAAATAACAAGTAGGAAATGTCTTTGCCAGGAAAGTTTAGCTTTATTTAAACTGCTGCCAATTATTCCTATGAACAGCGGGGATCCATTAAGAATGCTTCTTTCTTGTAATGAAAGTCCATGCAAACTAACAAGCCAGGAACACAAGCTGTTCTTGAGAAATAGGTTTGCGGGTACACCATGGAATGAATCTCTTTTGGGTGAGGTGTGGTTCTTAAAAGAACCGGTGAGTGTTAACTCAACGTTTCGGTCAGGATGCTCTGGCCGTCCTCAGGAGAGTGAGATAACACTCACCGGTTCTACTATGAACCACACCTCTTCCAAAAGAGATTGATTCCATGGCTTACCCGCAAACCTATTTCTCATGTCTCTTCCATCATGCAAAGCTTACCAGCTGTTCTTCCAAACCCAGGCACTGATTGTTGAAAATGTTAAATTCTATAGGCTGTTTTGGTGCCTTTACTTAGTGCCGGTGCAATGTTTTTACTTCTAGTGAAGTAATCTGTGGTAAAAAGTCAATAGACATCCCTAAAAGCGCAATAAAATTTGAATTGTTTGATAGTTTGCTTTTTTTGTTTAGTTGTGTTTTTTTAGTTCATAAGAGAACTAAGGCTGAAGAAGAAGGTTTGCTCACAAATATTTTAATTAGGCCAATTGGGGGTCACAATTTAAGATGATACCCCCACAATTAACAGTATCTCCTGTTCAACATCGCATCATTAGCGACCTCATTTCTCACGAAAAACATCAAAATTATAACACTTAAATTGGGGCGTTTCTGTTAGTTTTCTCACAATTATTAGTTTTTGTACAATGGTAAGAGACCTGGAGTAGACAGTTGCACAAAACATAAATTTCAATTTGATTTAATAGGCTCTTTGAATTATACACGGTCCTCATTCGCTAAATATTTCAGTCATTATATTTAACATCTGAATCATTTGCTCTCTGCATGTTTTGACTTAATTTCGAAGCGAATTTACCTCTTTGGTGAAAATCGCATGTGGATACCGTAACCTCACATAATTTGAAGATTGTAGTTCCCGGAATGTCGACGCTAACGTACCGGGCAAGTACGGGCGGGTCACACGCAAACTCTATCCAATCATTGATGACAGATTGATCACTGGTCACTGGTGTACCACACATGATGTTGTTGGTGTGAACTTCGTTTAAGCCGGCCCTTACAACAGCATCCTGCAAGTTTGGCTCTGTGATGGAGAAGTACATGACATCCAATCTCACAGTTGATTTCCAATGACATTATACTTGCTTTAAAAAACATCTTTTCTCTCTCTATGTATCTATGTTTGTACGATGCAATCCTCGAGTTTCGATCGTTTATTCCGTGTTACAATGAAATACCCCATCAGAGAATTTAAAAAAACGAATCATACCTGTTGGACTGCCTGTATTCCTGACTTGGATTATTCCAAGACAGTAACTTGACTCCAGGTCCACCCTCCACCACGGGTTCTCTTCATTATCTGTTAAAAAGTGCGACAGCTTGGTTTAAGCTTTTTTACCAATGGTGTTGCCAACTTCACGGCTTTCCAAATCCCGACAGAAAATGAAGAGCGGGTTTGGACAATAAGATCTCTTGGCAAAAATATTATCATAATGTTACAATGAATTCGTTATCGAAAGAACACATTTCGCAAAAGATGTCCAATTACTCTTCCATAAGAATTCATTGCACAAAACCATCCACTGTAACACTGATGTACTCACTTTCAAAGGTAACTGTTCACATACGGAAGTACAGGATTTGGTAGGGCAGCGTGACCTCTATAAAGATTCAAGTGGGCAGGTGATTGGAAATAGTATGCAGGGGGATGAAGTTATTGTTGAGGAGTGCTTTCTCGAAGGTCTGTGATTAATGACGAAATAACACAGGAACTAGCCAACAAGAACCTCTTTGGAGGAACTGTGATAACATTTTTATCATACCGAAGTACTCCCCCCTCCCTTTAATAAACCATTAGTATTTCTTCCGTGCCGTCGTACTTATTTTGTATGGTCATGAATCTTGGACTACCGACACCAAACGACAAATCAAACTTCTGGATAGCTGCCGCAACTGGCGTCTTTGAGAGATACATGGGATCACTTTGTCTTGGCGTGATTGTTTACCTTGGATCGTGTCGGGGGGGGGACACAGAAGAGGTTAAAACTCGGTACTTCGAAGATTGTCGCCGCTGGGTCACACAAATAATAGAAAAACAGTCTAAAAATGCCCGATTGCTGCCAACAGCACAGTCAGACAAGTGGGACCAGTAATATCCTAGCGATACTTGTGGTATTTTGCTTGAAATTAACTGCAATTAATTGTTTTGAGAAGGAAATAGAGAAAGAAAATCCCTAAGACGTAAAACCGACTTTTGCCATCATGAATAAACTTTTTATTATGATGATCTGTTCCATTATCCATGCAAAGTTTGCAGTTTTATTCTCCTCCTTCCAAAACATCAGTTTTCAAAGACTTGGTACCAGTTTGACTAAGACAGGGTGT